CAGCACTCCATTTGCCACATCACAGAAACACGGGAGAAAATAAAATAAACAAGGAGGACCCAAACCAACACCTGGGTAAGTTACAGTGCTGTATTTCTAATGCTGATATACACACACACAGCTGTATCTCAGAGCAGCCACACTGTGGGCAGCCAGCTACGAGCAGCACCTGCGCACACAGACAGTTTATCTGAGTCTTGTGACAAACCAAACGCGGTGTGTGGGTCGGCAGAGGAGGCTGGGCTGGGCCAGTCACTTATTCCAGCCTATGACCTCAGTCAAGCCAGCGGGTTGCCTGGTTCACAGTCAGTTTGTGCCTGTACAAATCAGAACCACAACTCTTCCAGCGTTAGCCCCAATGGCTTGCTGTGAAGAGACATTCACAGTGTCGGTTCCAAAGGTGTCTGTGAAGAGTGCTGTATATCCATGCATCGCTTAGACCATGTGACAGTGGCCGAGGTACAGCATATTCTTGTCTCTGTGGTGCGTTAGGCTTGCTTATTCTGTAATACCTCAAAGAATTATGCAGAGTACAGACCTGATAGCTTTCTCAATTTCATTGTCAGCTGTGAGAAAATGCCAAGGTAAATGGGAGAGTGCAGTCCTTGCTTTAAGTCAGAATGTCTGCTTGGCCAAAAGTACTTGTTGCGACCCAGTCTGGAGAGGCAAATGGAAGAGGAATGCTTGGATTTATTATTTTTGAGGTCAAAGTGTACTCTTAAGGGCTGTTTCCCTTTTGTGGTGGGAGAGAGGGTGCTCGGTTGTTGGGGTTGGCTATTGGCTCCCCCAGTGTGCCCAAGGACTCGGAGTGTCTGGCAAGGCAGTTGTGGTGTGTGAGAAAGGGGCCAGGTAGTGTCCATGACCCATGGGCTGGACCTGCTGTCTGCCTGCCTTGCTCGCTGTGGCCAGCACCACCCTGCTGAGCACAGGGGGCCTGCTGGCAAAGTGCAGCCCCTGGATCTGCTCACTGGAGTGGTGCCAAAGGTTGGGAGACCCACGTGGCAGGAGATTAATAGCCACTGCCAACCTGTAATTTTCGCTCAGAGTTGGGTCAGGGAGCCCTCCTGCCCCTTTGAAATAAGTTGGCTCCACTTGTTTGTGCAAACAGCAGTGGCAAAGGGATGGGTTCATATACATGTCGTGAACATCACTGATGTCAATTTTCAGGAAAAGTCATTTAAAAGCATGACATATCATGTAGTGCATGATAGTGGCAGTCTCCTGGCAGTTGAAAATTTACAATCAAGATGATGAATACGTCAGTGCTCTAGAACCAGTCATGATTTTTTAGGTCCTACAGCTCTGAGAGCTTAATCTTTTCTTGTGTGGCTTTTTCTCTGCTTCTCTGAAACCACTGTTTGCTACCCATCCTAGGATTTCCAGTGGATTTGCTATGGCAGATATCACTGAAATTTGAGAACTGTTTCTTTCCTGAAAGGAGGACAATCTCAACTTCGTAGCATGTGGTGATACTCGCTTGTCTGGTTAATAGCAGTAAATGTAGACATCTTTTTTTCAAAGATGGTAATTCAAGTCTAATATCTCTAACTGAGCATTTTTAAGACTGTAATCTCCCTTAGTCTTTTGTGTTGTTTTTAATCTGTCTGAGAATGGTTGAATGCTATGTTTAATACACAGGCATTCTTAACTGCCTTTTCGTACCCTTCAAGCCATTGTTATGACAGAGCGCAACACTACTGATTATTCACTTGGTCAAGGTAAATAACAGTGAGGTGGACAATTGCATTGAGATTGCTCTGACTGTCCAATACTCTGACCAACTTCTTTTAGCTATTGCACACATGGAAGGTGTAGTGTTTAATATCAAGTTTACTTATTTGAAGATAATTGATTCTAGATACTTTTTCTGACTTAGCAGTGTAATATATAATATACTGATACTACAATGCAAATGTAAGTTATACATAGTAAAATATAACAATTGCAATATACAGGTCAATCATAATATTGACGTGATCTCCATTACAGGATGCTGGGTGTCCCCAGCCACTGGAAAGGAATATGTGGGTTGAAACCAGCTAAAGCCCATTGCTAACTTTGACAATCTTTTGTTAGTTGTTTAGTTTTTATCATCTCAGTTGTGCTGAGCCATGTGTACACTCCTCCCCATGCTGGTCTGGCTAAACCAGGGAGCCTTTCACGTGCTTTTAATAAAGGGATAAACAGTTATGTTACTAGCTGATGCACTCAACTGACATAGCTGTTTATCTAAAATAAAGGCCACCCTCCAGCCCTCTTTGTGATGATATAAAGTCATCATTCTTTGCAAAACTCGTGGCCAGTCACAGCCTGCATTATTCCCTGAGCTTCATGGGCAAGTCACTCTTGCCTGTCTCCTCTGAGCCTGCTTCCTTTGGAGGGGTTTATTGGTCAGTCATGTGCTGTTAGGTCTTGTGTACACACTGACACTGCATCAGTGTATTGCGAAAATGCTGCTGTTGCAGCATCAATTGACAGAGTGGTGTGATGAGCACATCGGGACATATAAGAGCAGGCCAGCTTTTTTAGGTTTGCAAATAAAATAGTCTTATTTCAGTGTCTAAACCACACATCCTCCAGTTCTTCACAGCTAGGTTTCCAATGATACTGGGAGATCAAATGGATTAAACCATGGGATTTCAAAACAAAGCCATATTCCTCCTATGTCTCATCTGCCCAAAGCTTCAACTCCCCTATAACTAACCTGAAAATTTGTTAGGCATCTGATGTTTTTACCATACTGAGAGATGCTATGTTTGAAACTACACATCAAATACTTTCTGCTTGGGGTTATACTTCAGAAAGACTCATAAATCATCAGTACTGGATGGCCACTTTCTCTCCTGCCCTCATGCATTTCTTCAGCATGCTAAAATGCTGCAGCCTGTTCAGCTTGAGCTGCTGCACAGCCTGTTACAATGAGGGCTCCCAGTCCCCTTGCCAGTGGGTTGGCCATCCATTGCATCAGGCTGTCAAGGATGGTCCTTACTGTCCTTGGCTGACAGCAGTGTATTTCAGCGGAAAAATGTATGTCATTGGAAACAATGTTATGCAGTGATATGCCATCACATCAGTGGAACCCCACAGAGAATGCTCAGGCACATGTGGTTGCTCTTGGTAATATTGAGGAATGGGGGAGGTCTGTTCTCACTGAATTGGTAATCACAAGGTGCCAGCATCTCACTGGTTCATTGCTGTTAGCCGGTAGGCAAGGTCATTTGCAGTAATTTACTATTTCATTGTTGTAGTGGAAAAAGAGACCTTTAATAAGGTCTGTGATATGAAAATGAACAGGTGGGCAAATGGGACCTGCTTCTGCACTTCATTCCTGAAGACAAATTCTGGGAAGGAAAAGGATGCATATGACATATTCAGTGGCACATCTAGTTTCAGAAAAAAATGTACTGGAGGCAGTGCAGGTACAAAATGCACTAAGGTTTCTTTTTTCTTGGAGTAGCTGTGCTATTTTGTGGACTTTTTGTTTTTTCTCACATTCATCAAATGTCAGGCATTTTCTGGTCTTCATATTCTCTGAGTGTTGTTTATCATTGGCATGACTTTAGCTTACTCATTGAGTGTTGTTGCTGAGACCTTGATCTTATAAGTCAGTTCCAAATGAAGACCTGAAATTATGTCATGAGCAAAAGTCAGAAGGTTATTTTTGAAGCAGGAAATTGTAGGAAAAGCCAGAAGGGACTTGGGCAACAGCTATGGCTTTCAAATTCAGATTTATGTCAGGCAGCTAAAAGTCATCTGCAGTATCACTCTACATCTGATTTTGGGTTTCCTTCCTTGACTCAGAAGTGAGTCTCATTTAAAATGAGATGAAACCTTATTGTCCTGGGTTCAGCTAGCCTGGAGTTAATTTTCCCAAGAAGCTGGGAGGAAACACAGCCAGAGTAGCTGACCTGAACTAGCCAAGGTGGGTATTTGATACTATGTGACATCATGCTCAGTATATATACTGGGGGAGCTGGTCAGGGGGAGGAGGGATCCCCTCTCCGGAGCAGGCGGTGCATTGGGTTCCAGGTGGTGAGCAATTACATTGTGCATCACTTGCTTTATATATTCCTTTATTAGTGTTGTTGTTACTATTATTTCTTCTTTCCTTATGTTCTGTCCTTATCTCAACCCATGAGTTTTTACCTTTTTCTTCTGATTCTCCTCCCCATGCCACCAGCGGAGGGGCAGGAGTGAGCAAGTGAGTGGCTGCATGGTGCTTAGTTGCTGGCTGGGCTTAAACCATGACACTTACACAGAGTCTCTGTTGGAGAGGAAAACACTTGCAGCTCTGATCCCTCTTAGTCAGGTAGAGCATCAGGTGCTCCACAGGACCATGTGAAGAAAACCATTACAGTTCCTAGCAGGGGACTGGGCAATGACACTAGAAAAACTTCAGGCATGAAAAGGGGTCAGTTTCTAGTTACCAGTGTGATTCACCTGGTGAAGACCCACCACGTGTTGTGATATACCTCTTATTGACTGAGAGTGGCTGAGCAGGTACCCTGCTTTGAGCTTGGACTAATCCTGAGAGCTAGGTGCCTCTGAGTGCTGGCAAACTCATTCATTCTCCTAGAGCTGTTAGATTTCCAGTTGTCTTTTAATCACTTGCCTTTCCTTTTACTTTCTGGAGTACACTTTGAGGGTCTATGTGTTGTGTTTTGGAATACTTTTGATAAAGTATCTTTGTTTACACAATTGGAAAGAGTACGATTCTGAATTTGGGTGCACTTCTCACAGACTACTTGGTTTATGATAGTGTATAATCATTGTGAAAAAGTATTTTATCTTCAGCTGTTGGGCAATCCAGGAAAAAACAGACCAGAAAAATGATATCAAGCTTGTTAGCCAAATAAGAGCTGATATCATTGATCTGTGTGAATTTTGACAGCTGCAATAGGAACTTTGTCATCTTGCAGGAATATAAATTGCCAGTGGAGAGACAACAGCCTTATACTGAAGGCATCATGCAAGTCCTCCTCCTACTCGCAGCTGTAGGGGTTTGCTGGGGGCAGTACAACCCCAATACTCTCTCTGGGAGGACGTCTATTGTACATCTGTTTGAATGGCGCTGGGCTGATATTGCTCTTGAGTGTGAACGCTATTTAGCTCCTAATGGATTTGGAGGAGTTCAGGTAAGTTGTTTCCTGTGAGTAGGTAGGAAAATGACATTGTAGCATTTGATTAATAAATCAGAATGCCTGAATCGGAGACAGCCAGTTCCGAGTAACTTTAGTGTTGGAAAGGGTGGAATGGAAGTAGTAACAGCTCTTAGACGCAACCCTAGAGCCTTCAGAGCCAATGAATGATATTGTATCTTTAGCAGTTCAGTCACAAAGGGACATGCTTTCCTCTGAAACACTTCCCCTGCAAAGCTAAATTTTCCTCTTTGCTTCGTTCTGAGGGAATTGTGTAAGCATTGAGGTTTGGCTTTCCTAAAGATGTCATTATTCCATGAAGAAATAATTCCTGTGGTTTCATCCCTCCCATGCACATGGCCTTAGTAACAGGCCCATGCTGGACCTGGGCAGCCCACGGGAATAAAAGAAAACTTCTTTCTTGCTAGTCTACGAGACAGACATCTCACAGACCTGAGCTTATGCTGTTGGAGAGAGACAGACTGGGTTGGGCACTAACTAGCCTGCCTCTGAGGGCAGAGGTGCTGACCACAGACTTTGCCCTTAAAATGTTGAAATAAAACCAATTAATTTATTAACAAAGTACATCATTTCATCTGCAGGTTTCACCTCCAAATGAAAATATTGTCATTACTAATCCAAACAGACCCTGGTGGGAAAGATACCAGCCCATCAGCTACAAACTCTGCACTCGATCAGGAAACGAAAATGAATTCAGAGATATGGTGACCAGATGCAACAATGTTGGAGTAAGTGCCTTGAAAATCTATGTCTGATATGCCAAGAAGTGCTCTATCAGCTGAGGGAAGTTACTGCTGCTGTCTTCAAAGGAGGCATAAACTGAGAATAAACTGAAGGGTCAAAAAAGATTGAAGTAATAGTGATGTGGTAAAGCTCTGGCTATCACTTCACCATCATTACAAAACATACTGAAATGCACTTATTGCTTTTCCAGGTTCATATTTATGTGGATGCTGTTGTCAATCACATGTGTGGGGCTGCAGCTGGCTCAGGCACACATAGTACCTGTGGCAGCTATTTTAATGCTGGGAACAGAGAATTTCCAGCTGTACCATACTCTGGCTGGGATTTCAATGATGGCAAATGTCGAACTGGAAGTGGAGAAATTGAAAATTATGGTGATATGTATCAGGTAACTCTGGCAAAATCTTTTTCCTCTTTTTTTTTTTTTTAACCTGTTGTGTAAACATTATAGTAAGGCCAAACAAAGGGAGTAGTTTCTTACAAAACCTGTGCTTAGTCATCTGACAAGTGAATGAAGTCATGAACATAGGTACAGGAATGGTACTCATGGCGCAAAATATTCTAATTATTGAGAAATCAAAACCCCTCCCCATATGTTTCACTTTGGCATGTTCAGGCGTTTGCTCCTGAACTGAACCCAGTGTACTCACCTCAGCCGATGAGCTTCCTTACAGCTTGTAAACTCAGCGGATCTTGAAAAGGAGCCCTCTTGGAAAATTGACAGCAATGCAAGGTGGTACCCTGGTTGAGCAACTTCATCTTTTTGTTGATGGAATGTGTAGCAGTTCTTTCTCAAGGTTACTGCTCTTCCTTTGACCGCTTTGCAACAATACACCATGCTGTTTCTCATCCTCTATTCTGATGACATCTGCACAAGGAGGTGATATCCTTCACCAACTGTCCTAACGAATATTGAGCTGTACAGTAAATTTACCTGTGTCTTGGTGCAGACTGTCATGGTTTAGCCCTAGCTGGCAACTAAGCCCCACCCAGCCACTCGCTCACTCCCCCCTGGTGGGATGGGGGAGAGAATTGGCTAGTACAAGTGAGAAAACTCATGGGTTGAGATCAAGACAGTTTTAATAGGTAAACCAAAAGCAGCATACACAAGAAAAGCAGAGCAAGGAATTAATTCACCACTTCCCATGGGCAGGCTGGTGCTCAGCCATCTCCAGGACAGCCGGGCTCCATCGCACATAATGGTGACTTGGGATAGGAAGACAAACGCTATCACTCTGACAGTTTCCCCCCTTTCTTCATCCTTCTCCCCCCAGCTCTATACGCTGAGCATGATGCCATATGGTGTGGGATATCTCTAGGGTCAGCTGTCCCAGCTGTGTCCCCTCCCAACTACTCGCTGGTGGGGTGAGGTGAGAGGCAGAAGAGCACTTGACTCTGTATAAGCACTGCTCAGCAGTAACTAAAACTTCTCTGAATTATCATTAATGTTTTCAGAACAAGTCCAAATGATAACCCCATACTAGCAACTATGAAGAAAATTAACTCTATTGGAGCCAAAGCCAGCACACAGACCTTGGCATAATTCTCTTCTATGCAAATTAGATAGCCAAGCAGAATTGACTTTATGGCTTGAAGCATGCAAACATTTCATTGAAGGGTTTTACAAGCTAACAGAGTGGCACCTCAACAATTTTTTTTTTTTTTTTTTTTTTCATTATACAGGTCCGGGACTGCCGCCTGGTTAGCCTTCTTGATCTGGCCCTGGAGAAGGACTATGTACGCTCAAAAGTTGCTGAGTACATGAACTACCTCATTGATATTGGCGTGGCAGGCTTCCGAATTGATGCTGCCAAGCATATGTGGCCTGGGGACATAAGAGCCTTTTTGGACAAGCTGAAAAATCTGAATACTAAATGGTTTTCTGCAGGAACAAAACCTTTCATTTACCAGGAGGTAATTTTCATTTGCTTTATGTTTGTCTTTGGTATCTTTTTTACCTTCCTCCTTCAGAGGAATGGCAGGATTACACCTACCTCCAACTTTACCCTTGAAAGAGCTATCTTTGGAGCAGCCCTGCAGACATAAATAGTTTTGCTTTTTAAAAATTCCTCCTCAACAGAATGTCATTCAACTTTACCATTCTATCTTCAATTATGTTTTCACATTTGTCCATCATGTATTGTACTGACTTTGGGTTTATCTACAGAGCAGAAATAAACACAGTTGAATATTATTTCTCTTAATGTAAAGCAAGAACTAATGTTGAGGACTGTACACTGCGTTTTTTGTCTCTTTGAGACAAGAACAGATGCACAGTTTCTCCTTTCATGTACCAGGTCATTGACTTGGGCGGAGAGCCGATCAAAGGCAGTGACTACTTTGGAAATGGCCGAGTGACAGAATTCAAATACGGTGCAAAACTGGGGACGGTGATCCGCAAGTGGAATGGAGAAAAGATGGCCTACTTAAAGTAAGGATGAAGTTGCTGCGACTTACCCGGGTTACGCTGGATGCACCAGTCGACAGGGTAACTTGAAGTCTTTGCGTTTTTTGGCTAGGAACTGGGGAGAAGGCTGGGGCTTTGTGCCTTCCGACAGAGCCCTGGTCTTTGTGGATAATCACGACAACCAACGGGGACACGGGGCCGGTGGAGCTTCCATTCTAACCTTCTGGGACTCCAGGTAAGAGATTGCTCGGGTCTGGGTGGTGCTTCTTCCTTTTGCTTGCTTGTCTGTCTGTTCTCTGGCATGGTTTCTCTTTCCACATCTCCTTATTATTTTTTGTCTAACGAACAGGCTTTATAAAATGGCAGTTGGTTTCATGCTTGCTCATCCATATGGGTTCACACGTGTGATGTCAAGTTTTCGCTGGCCAAGATCTTTTGTAAACGGACAGGTAAGCTTGTAACGCTGACGATACATTTGTGGTGAATAAGGATCAGAACAGGGCCAGAGGAGCAGTCCAGTGCATTTAAATTTGTTGAGTGATTTCTCTGTCCCTTGCTGGATCTATCAGGTGGAAATTTGATGCTCCACCTAGCTTTTCTCTACAGATGGGCTCTCTGCATTATCAGTAAGAAGTTTTAAACTTCTCTTTTTAATGACAGGACGTCAATGACTGGATTGGACCACCAAGTAACTCAGATGGATCAATAAAGCCTGTTACAATCAATGCAGACACTACCTGTGGCAACAACTGGGTTTGTGAACATCGCTGGCGTCAAATAAAGTAGGACGGTGTGGAGAAAAAATAGTAAAAGCAGTTGCTTTTGCTTCATATTCCTCTTGGCCTCAGAGCTCTTGCAGCCACAGTGACAGCCATTCCTTGTATTTTCAGGAACATGGTTATCTTCCGTAACGTGGTGGACGGTCAGCCTTTCTCCAACTGGTGGGACAATGGCAGCAATCAAATAGCCTTTGGCCGTGGTAACAAAGGCTTCATCGTTTTCAATAATGATGACTGGTAAGTCAGTATGAGAGGCTGTGTGTCCAGAGAGAAGCATAGCATCCCTCATTAGCAGTACTGATGGGAAGGAGAATTTCATCTTCTGATGAGAGCGATCACTACAGCCTGAGTTAGAGGCATTCAATTGCATGCCAGGTCTGGAGAGCCAAAGGGAGAGCATAGGGCATGAAGCTTAGGGCTAGGGTCAGAAAGCTCACACTTTACATTGCCCTTCACAGTAAGGGAATAGCAACAGGTTCAAAAGTACTATACCCAGTTTGAAAGATCTGTTTTGAAAACAATGGATAAATAGTGTTCACTTGTTTTCAAATAGGAATATGAACGTCAATTTGCAAACTGGACTGCCTGCTGGTACCTACTGTGATGTTATTTCTGGACAAAAGGAGGGCAACAATTGTACTGGAAAACAGGTGTATGTTTCTGGTGATGGAATGGCTAATTTCCAGATTAGCAACAATGCTGAAGACCCATTCATTGCAATTCATGTTAATGCCAAGTTATAACGCAGGAAAAATGTCCTTCTCCATTTGCTCTGTGCATTACTGTTTCCCCATATGCGGTTCCCTGGTATTCAAGCAAGAGTGATTCTCTGTATCTAGTGAATAATAAATGGCAATCAAACTGACGAGTAATGCTGTTTCCCTTGCTGAATAGGACTGTCACTTTCTCACGTCATAACTAGTGGCAGTGCAGTGGTGGGTTTTAAGGCAAGGCAGCACTCCATTTGCCACATCACAGAAACACGGGAGAAAATAAAATAAACAAGGAGGACCCAAACCAACACCTGGGTAAGTTACAGTGCTGTATTTCTAATGCTGATATACACACACACAGCTGTATCTCAGAGCAGCCACACTGTGGGCAGCCAGCTACGAGCAGCACCTGCGCACACAGACAGTTTATCTGAGTCTTGTGACAAACCAAACGCGGCGTGTGGGTCGGCAGAGGAGGCTGGGCTGGGCCAGTCACTTATTCCAGCCTATGACCTCAGTCAAGCCAGCGGGTTGACTGGTTCACAGTCAGTTTGTGCCTGTACAAATCAGATCATGAGACAGTTTCCTTAGGTGTAAGTAAAACTTTGTGGGCCAGATGTTCGCTGCATTTAAAGATCAGACCTGTATCCCGACTTTGTTTTTTTGTTCCTTTTACTTCAAACTTTTTGGCACGTTGCCTTATTATTTGAGCACACAGGATATGAAGAAAGCAAGTGTCATCAAGAGCAACACCAGGTCTTTCAGATGAGTCATGAAACCCAGAGTCACATTCTGCTTTATTGCTGGTCTTTACGTTGTTTTTAATTGTCAATCTTAAGTTTTAAGAAATTTTTATTGTTATTTTTATAATTTCTGCTACTATTCTGTATGTAAAGTGATGTCACAAAGACTTTAATTTTGTATGCCAGTAATGAATGAAAAATTGAAATCCTACTATAAAATTTATGAAGTTTAAAGTGAGGTACTTATTGGAGCACAACAGTATGGCTAACAAACAGATTTGCTGAGGTGTAAGACTATAGAATTTTGTGGGCATTATGTAACATTTCATTTTCTGTTGCAAAGTAGTACTCGCTTTCATTCATCAAAGAGTGAGTTTAACTGAGTAATATCAAAACCTGTTATAGGCTGATATTCTAAATTTTGTTGCAGTATTGCTAGTCTCAGGCTTTCCGAAATAATATCTCAAATCCTAGAAATTCTAAGCTTTAAAAGAAAGTAATGGTTGGAATTAGAGTTGGTTTTTATTTTCATTTCAAGTTTTGAGTTTTCCAGGTATATTCTCTTCTTGTTCTTATATTTTATTTTGTAATTTGGTCTAGAATTTAAACGTGGAAAAATTTCCCAAACCTAACCAGCTGGGATTAAGTTCATAAAAATAAGTGTTTTCATTTTCAGGGATATGCCATGTAACTGATTGGAAAAATCTTGACTATGACCAAAGGTAAATACTGTTACCTTTTTCACATACTATCAGTTTATCATCAGACTGGTTTTAAAGTGAATGGAAGAAAGATGATGGATGGTAATAGAGTATTTTTCCTTTGGGATCTGTGAGAGTTCTCTTCCAGATAAGTTTACCTGGTTCTGTTATACAATTTCCTTTTCAATTCCTTCACTGCAGAAGATCATGAATGCAGTTGCTGGGTCATGAGGAACCACTCAGTTGACATTTATGGAGCAGAAGGTGAATCTGTCTGTCTTCACTTATGAGAAATAAGATAATAGTGTATCTGAGAAACCTGATTTTCTTTCTTCGTCTCTGGTTTTGCTGGTCCAGCTGCCCTATGTTCTACTCCATTCTATGATACTTGCCCACGCTTTTGTCATTGTTCTGCTTTTCCTGCTCTTCTTCCTCTTCTGTCACATGCCAAGTACCATTTTGGGCCTAGTCAGCTCACTCTTTGTGTTCTTTGGAAAGCTTAGAGGAATTGTGTTAGATTCAGGCAGCCATGGAGAGGGAATGCTCTTCATATTTGTTTGATTTGTGAGATAGGAAACACATATGAAATATTGCAGTCTATATGAGGGGCATTTTCACCTCCACTGTTTGAACAATTTGATTTTTTACAATTTACAATGTAGCTACCTTCTTCAAGCAACATGAAACCTATAATGGTATGATTTGTAATAGCTACATTTCATTGGTACTATAATTCAAACTAAGCAGAACTTTGTATATAGCAACATGTTGTTCAAGCATGGTTTGTTTTGTGCTATACAACATACGGAGGCATTTAAGGGAAGTAGACTGGAACAGAAGGAAGATCAATGAAGAGATAATTAATTTGAAGTGTAGGTATGAGAAAAATTCCTTATTTCATCCAGTGGTCTGTAAGTATCAGTTATTGGCAGTGGTACCCTTTAGAGAACATTTTAGGGACAGTAGTTAAATGGTTTTACAGAGAAAGTTTAAGACTTTATCAGTTCTTGTTGTAAACTTTATTATGGTCCTCTAGTTGACCATCTTAACTTCTGTCTTTTCTACACTAAGAAAGTTTTGGGGCTGGTGTTAGATCCTGAACAGTGAAGACTAGCAAAATCAATGAGGGATAATTTATATTTTTCTCATGTAATTAATTATACTTGTGTTTAATTGGGTGATAAAGAAAAAAATGTCTTTTGCTTTCCAAATAAATGATGCTATAAGGTGTATTAATTGTAGTGGGATGAGAAAGGTAATGGAATTTTGTCAGTTTTGTAAGTATAATACGCTTTTTCAATTAAACTTCTGATGATTAAAACAAAAAAAGAACAAAAAAATGAAGCATAGCAATAAATGTAGTTTTCTTGTTATGCCCATTTGTTTTGGCCATTTATTCTCTGAATATGTGTAAACAAAGCACACCACAATGAATTAAGCAGAACACAGTGTTTTACTAGTGGAAAAACTAACTAGGTAATTTATAAACTGGACATCTTTCATGTTATCAATAGGTTATGTGAGGGAAGTAAAGTATAGAAATGTCCTCACAAAAGGAAAGTTCCTCAGTCCTCTTAGAACCTGATATGAATTGTTGAGCCTAGAGCTATATGACCTATATACTATAAATTGTCAGCTCTTGTGTTGCTTGATCTGGTCACAGCAATATTATATTTGCAGTGAATATTTATAATAGAATACTTTCACTTAGGCAGACTAAACCAACAGTAATCAAATTGAAGACATCAGCATCTGCATTTCCTTTAGAACAGGAAACAATAATTCACCACTGAGCAGTGCAACTTTTTTAAACTACCTGTGTAGCTTTCTGTTAATATCAGCTAAACATGTTCTCAGTAAGGTCAGTTTTAATGAATCGGTGTCAGATCCCATATTTTATCACACTACAAAGGGAGGCAAAGCAAAGTATTCAAAGTGTCTCAAAGACAATGATGTGGCTCAAAGAAAATATGGTATAATATTTCACCTTTCTCTATTTAACTACTGTGGCATTGTTTATACCCATATAATTAAAAACCTTGAAAGAGTGTTTCCTATTCCTTTTTTGTAATTGAGAAATACAAAACTAATAAAACCAGTGGACTTAGCATCTTAGTAGCCTCAACTATCTTCCAAAATGAGACCAACTAAAAGACTTATTAAAAACAGGTTATTTGGAGTTGATTTGCTATGCAACATATTAGGATGCCTTCTCAGAGCATAACTGTTAGGGCCCATAAGTAGCTGTCACTAGGAAGAAATTAAAGCAGCTAAGCAAGTTGATAAACTGTAGAAATAGTTGTCTCAGTCTAAATTAATCTCTGATTCTATAAATGCATAGTAAGTTTGTAAATTTGCTCACACTTTTTTTTTATCTTTTTCCTTTTCCTTTTTTATTTTCTCACCATAGTTCTGTCTCTTTATGTAGCTTTCAGCATAATAGTGATCTGAATTTAATGGAAGTGATGCACAATAAAGCAAAGTGAATGGCTACTTGTATGTGCAGCTGTTCATGAATACTTAAGTTATATATATAGACACATTCAGGCAGTAAACACTTTCACAGTTACCCGATCAGAAAAGAGAAATGATAGGTCTGATACAGCACATGATGATTTGTCCTTTTAGTTGTTTTAATCCACAGAGTTGAAATTTGTCAGATAAGATGAAATAAACAGTGATATTAGAAAAATCATGAACTTCTAGTGTATTGTCTGAGTGGACCAGAAGGTTAAGTTTACTGAATTATTCATAGCAACTTATTGTCTCAGCTCAATGCAACAGCATAAATGGAAACTTTTGTTCAGCTCTGCATACCTCTGCGTCAACTCATTATTTCCCTGAATCACTGTTATTTCTCTAACAGAAGAAAGAGTTCTATAAAGGGAAGCTAGCAGTCTATTGTCTTTTTATAGAGACTGTGAAAATTTTATTCAAGTTTTCATTTTGTTTTAAAGGGAAACAAATGAAAAAACTCAACACATAACACTAACCTTTTAATTGCTGATGGTGTGTTTGGTTCCTTTATCAGCAATCTGTGGTTTTAACAGTCCTAGTCTAGTAGCCTGACTGCACAATGTATTCTGAACAATATACAGGTATTTCCTTCACAAATGTTTTCATGCCATGGCAATTTTCACTTTGCCTTGATGTTAAATTAGAATGGTGGTAAGAAAGAATGCTACTAGAGAAAATGTTACTAAATATGTTGCCTTTCAGATAACATTTAATACAAAGGTCTTGGTCATAAATACTCTGGTGTTACTGTTTGTGATGATAGTGGTGAATTATCTCCAGTTACTAGAGTCAAAGTGCTTGAATTTTCACCCAGTTGGCACAGAAAGTGCTTTGGGTTAAATAGCCAGAGCATTTAATGTACAATTACAGAAGTGACTTACACTCTGTAGGAGAGTAGTAAAGTGTGAGACATTCTGTGGCACTTATGAGTTGAAAATGGAAATACTAAACATTTATCAGAGAATGAAATTACATTGTCTTCCCTGGTTCTAAACTATGAATTAGATTGCATTATCCAGCCACCAAGATTGAGAAGTGGCTGGCTTAATTAACTGTATTATGCTTCCTTATTAGTCCAAGGATTTTTTTTTCTTCTTTTTTTTTTTTCTTATTTTTTTTGTTTTCTCCTCTGAAAAAAATAAAGGTGGATGTCATGGTAAATGTACAATGCTACCATCATATTTTATTTTTCATTCCAATTGTGAAGAAAGCCTTTGGAAGCTTAGCAATTTCTGTCTTCGTAGTTGACAAATGGTAATAACTGTGGATGCTAATTTCTGCAATGTTCTGAATACTCTGTGGAGCATGAAGTCAGTCAGAAGACCCTTGAAGAAAGTTAACCTTTAGAATTTGGGCAAGATGACTACAGGGAACTCATTATGTTTACAATAATAAACATTCAGATATTAGCCTAATTTACATTGGTGGTATTCCTGAGCTGTTCCCTTATAGTGTGTGTGGGAGGCTGTCTAAAATTTGGATTCATTATCTTACAGGACCTCATGGTAATTTCAAGTATTGGAATTTGTCTGTATTTAAAATGAACTGTTTGTTATACCATTACTGTCCAAAGTCTTCTGTCCTTAAGTTTTTATAATCATATCTGTGTTTTGGGATTTGTCAAGACTAAGCTCAAATAATTGCTGCCTGAGCTCACAGGATAAATTCACTTGCAGAATAGCCATTGACTGAATTTAGTCAAGTCATTTAGATACTAGCCAAGTTGAATCTCACCAGTCATAATGTTTAGCAACAACAAAAACAGGAGGAAAAGAACATTGAGCTGGCCAGATTACCACCAGTGCAAAAAGGGTAATTTTGGCTTTTTTTTCTTCTTTTTTTTCTGGTGTTTTCTTCTTGTTTTTCTCCTGTGTTGTCTTTTCTGGCACTAAAACTAAAGTGAATGGGCAAAGTCTCTTGTATAGCCTTAGTTAGCAAGAAAAGTGAAGTAAACAAGCATTTGTTAAGAAGTCGTGGGGTCACAGCCCACGGTTAAAAGCACAGCAGATGCAGCAGCAGCCTTGGTCTGTAGACCTACTAATGCTTCCCACAAAGCAATACAATTGCAAGAATAGCATTTTCCTAAATGGACATTTTCATGGAAATTAGGGATTCTTTGCAAACATATATCCACATCTCTCTACAAACATTTGTAACCACCATTTTGACTGCATTTAAACATATATAATTTGAATGGTCTGGTAGAAAATGGCAGAATAATATCTTACGGTGAAGCTGCAGCAAGATAATAGAGGGATCAATAACACAACAGAACCTTCCTGTTGAGATAGACCCTGGGATGGCTGCACTGGCATAGAGTGAGTGTGGATTTCCATGAACTACTCTCACTGCAACTCAAACAACTTTCTCTGAACCCTATCAGGACAAGTAATTGGGTACAGCAGTAACTAAGGCAATAAAGGCTAATAACACTTCAGAAAAAAAAAAAAAAAATCAGCTTTCTTGATTTGGGTTCTGTGCACATTTCTGCCTTTGTACAAATAGTCCTTGAATCTAGACAGTGCAGTTAGCAATGGAGAGCTGATATGCACAGGGATGACAGTGACAGGACAGAGTAGTCAGTGCTGGACAGACAGCTTGGCAGAACACTTAGGTGGTAAGCTAGAATAAATACCAATGATGACAAATATGATGTCAACAAACATATCAGAGATATTGACAAACACAAATCATAGATAACAAGACAGAACAGGCAAACTCCTTCTGGATGACTTTGGAGCACCAAATTTTGTACCCCTTGGTAGGAATTGCTGATGATTGAAACAACAAAAAGGACCAAAGCAAGTGGATCAGCAAGCACTGTGTTTATGTATTGTAGATAGGACTTTTGTGCTTTAACTGGGAAAAGAAATTATATCTTAGAACAGGCTGTGATAGAACTTTATGATGCTGTAACCATTAGCAAATTGTCTGTTTACTTTATGAAAATAAAAGTAATGACCTTGTGCTGACAAATAGACTGCCACATTTTGGTGTCAGGATTGTATACTGTGTAAGAGGAATGCGATATTGAAACCTCTTGATAGGAGGCTTCAGATGATAGAAGACAGAAGGAAATGTGGCAGAAAAATTTGAGCAGTGGATTTAGATCTGTTTTTCTACTTTTCTTTGGAATCCATTTCAGTATTTTCTTCTACAGATTTTTTTTAAATCAGCCATATTTTACATATAATACAACCACGTTCATCACCAGCCTTGTTATCATAAATTAAGTTGTGGTTTCTACTCTGTTGCTTGCCAAGGGAAGTAAACATAGCAGTTCTGCATAAGAAGCCACTACATATGCGAAAAACACAAGTCAAAATAGCTGCAAAAATAATCACTTTCCTGATTTTCTACATTGTGGGGAAAATGCCTTCTACCCCTCTTCATGAGGAAGGCCACATATTGTCTCTGCTGCTATTCCCTTGAGTGAGTGTCATCAACTCATTGTACACCCAGTCATTTTCTCACCTTGCATGAGACTGGAGGTTTGTCTCAACAGGTCTGCAGCTTATTTACAAAGCTGGCAAACTGGAGAAGAGCTGTGACTTCACTGTGGAGGGCTGTGTTTTTCTAAAAGAAGGAAACATCACATAGTCCAGACCTGAATAATCCTACTCTCTTCCCATTTGATGTGGATGCAATACAATTGCTTTTTCTATGTCCACTGACTTTGAAAAAATAATTATCTTCTAGTGTCATATGTGGCTTTCTGTTCATGTGATCTTCACACTCAAATGCCATGTTCTGTTTATCCCACGCTTAGAGATCAGAAGGTTGGATAATACCATTGGGGTCATTTCAGCTGCACTGTAATTACAAGATGATCCTCTCCGCTTATCTCTTAAGTGTTTTAGCTGGTCTACTTTGAACATAGCTTTGTTGATGCATCTGTGACTTCTTTTGAAAAGCTACTCTACTGCCTAATGGGCTTTATGGGCAGCTTTCTTTTTATCAGTAAGCTAACATTTACATGTTTTTATTATAGTTTGTTACTCTTTAATCACCTTAAATAATGTCTTGTCTTTCCCCTGATGATAATTTCTATCAGTAACTGAGAAACTGTATGCTGATTGTCAGTGTATTGTAGATTAATTAAAATTAAGTCCACTGTCACAGGATTAAAGCCACTTCCATTTTTCCCTTCCTCATTTTTATCTCGGTAGACAGAGAAATCTACTAATAGAATTTTTCTAATCCTGCATGATTCAGTAGATTTTTAGCCTCACATGATTTGATACTCATATGCTTGCAAACTTTATCAGTTAACCTGTAATCATTGTGGGTATAACCTTGTTTCAATGTATCTGTCTACCCTGAAAAAGTTACGAAACAAGTGGTCTGACTAATATAAAAATCAAGTAGCATATAAGCATATATATGTGTGTGTGTGTGTGTATATATGTATATAGTTTGTATATATGTATCTAGTATGTATAGTGCATGTATATATATAGTATGGATACACACACACATCCACATGTATATGTATTTTTTTATTCCCTATGCCTGCAGGGCATCCCTTATGGAAATCATATGAAATAGTATTAGATCCCATTATGTTCAACTTCTGCCATAACTGTTTAGGGATCTGAATTGGCAAATAAGGTTTTATTTCTGGGATAATCAGTGGGCCAGTCTCATACTTCTTGTGCATCCAGAATTTTCATTGACATCAAGTAGACATCAGTATGAAATTAAAAAAAAAAAAAAACAAAAAAAAAAAACACAACAAACCAACGAGACCAGAATGATCAGATACAATAATCTTTTTGGTTTATGCATATTTCTCTTAAAAATGTTTGAAATAATGAGTCTTATTTTTATATTGAGTTCTAATCTCAATTTATAGGATGCTTGTATGATTTTGCAGTCAGATGGAATTTTAATGCACTCTTAACAAATGAGTGAATAAGTGGAGAATTTTTTACTGAAGCCCAACACCCTTTACACAATAAAATATCTGCAGTCTGAACTCTCCCCACTCCCTCTTCTATTCCTCAAAAATTACAGAGATGGCAGTTATTTTTCAAAACTGTATTTAAGCAAACCTGATTTCTGTCCTTCTCCCTTCACTATTTTGCAGGTATACAATATTTACTGTGGTAAGAGGTGACTTCAGTTTTGGAAGAAGGAAAAGAGAATAGAAAGATGATTTTTCTCCCCTTCTGTGCACTCTGATGGCAGACACTTAAGGATCTGATGATGAAGCTGTGGTATTGTGAATTGAGTCATGGACAGTAGACTGTGCTGCAGGATGCTTTTGAGTTCAGGGATCTCAGCAGGAGACACCACCACTTCTGTAGCACTAAGCAGCAGTATCATGGCTCATTCCTGGTGTGCAGCCTGGAGCCAGGGAGTTGCTTTGGAAGTGCTTATAATGCCAATACTGTGGCTGGGGAGTAGCACATGGTACCCACGTGGAAGAGTCTCATAAAGAAATCATGAGAGCTGACAGGTTTGTTTGCTGTCTGATTACAAAGCAGTCACATATGGAATTAAATAATTATTTTAATTAAAGTAATACTTGTCCTAAACTGAGTTCCGTTTAAGGCTGAGAGTGGAATAAGGCCACTTCTATTCATCTTTGTATTTACGTCTCATCGCTTCCTTGTCTTCCTAAGACATCTGAAAAATATGAATGAATTTATCATCATGGCAACTTGTGCTGGGAAAAGATTTCTGTTACAGCAGGGTAACTGAGGCATAAAAGGCCTGGACCTGCCTGGTCTTCAGCCTGCCAAATTAAAGAGTTGGTCAGGGCAGACTCAGGAGGGACTAGGGTGGTGTCATGAAAGCCGTAGAGCAGCTCACTAAAGCCGACAAAATTACTACCTGTACAGGAGCTATGGGTGTTTCTGGACAGTCCCATGCTCCTGAATGTGAAAATGGGAGCCACACATCTCTTCCGAGGAGGAAACAGTAGCCCAAAAAGTATTTTCAAGGGAATGCCCCATATGCAGCCAGAGTCCTGGAACTACTCCTCTTAAAGGAAACTGCTCTTTAGCTCATTTAAGCACAAAATCAGTCCTACTCTTGTTTGCTCTCTCTGTGTCACTGAACACTGAACAGTCAGTGGCACAGTTTCAACAAAAGATAAAGGACAAATTTCCCGCCCCTCCCAAATAATTTGTAGCCTGGTAGGGCAATGTCTTAAAATATAGGAACAGAGCACTGACAGCCCTTCAAGTCTGAAATAAGCCTTAGACAGGGCTAAAATTTCAATCAAATCCACAGCTCAATTCTGTTATTGAAAAGTTGTCTTCTGATTGAAAATAAAGATATTTTATCAGCATATTCGCCCACCAGAAAACAGGTAATCAATAAATCTATTATTCTTACAATTATGTTTTATAAATGAGCTAGGTGAGGAATTTTGTCCCCAAGCAATTCCTAGGAAACACTACTCATTCAGTTCATGTGTGAGCAAAGTGACCACTAATTAGTATTTGCAGACTCGGGATAATCTAGTTCAGCTGTTCAAAAAATATTTGTGCTGCTATGAATTAAAATTACTTTGGAGTTTTAGGACGTACTGCTGCAGAGCACCTTGGCAACACCTCTTCAGTCTATTGTTCCATGCATTTTTCTATCATCCTTGAAAAATAATAGGCATTCCACTCTCAAAAAAAAACAAGCCATCAAAAAAAATTTCCTTGTGTCAAGTCATTAGAAAACTAATTTTTTTATCTATGTTTCATTATTGCTATAATGCCAGTGATTGCATGAAATTGAATCTGCATGGGATTTCAAATCTACACCATGAACTGAATTTTCTCAGTACTACAAAATATAAAAAGAGCAAAAAATATACTCTTTACATTCATGACATCTTTTGCTTGTTTTTAGCTTGGAGCCATACCACATAGCTCCACAAATGCTTGTATCAGCAAAACTGAGGAACTCTCAAACTCTTAATATGTGGGAATTAACAAATTTTCTAAAACAAATATCTAGCGATTGTAGAAAAGCTGTCCATGCTGCCATTGAGGTCATGGTCACAATTCTGCTATTTTAAACCATGCTGCTATTTACTTCAGAAACAATAGGCACTAAACCAGTTAGTATATAAAACATCAATTTTGATGCTTTCTAATTTAGAAAGTATTTAAATTGTGCAAAAGAGATATGTTCTTACTCTAGCTACTGATGTGTATATTTTGTATATACACACACATATACACAAAGGCAGTGTATCTATAATACAGATAGCATCATCTGTATGTTCAGGAGACACTGCATTTCTATGGAATGTAACAGAATTGTAAGCTTTGCTGAGTATCTATCTCACTGAATTGAAATAAATAGCATAGGCTCTTAAAATTCCATTTTTATGCTCAACAAACTGTCACTGAGGAAGTAGTTTTGCATGGTTTATGACAGCTTCAAGAGATTTGCAGTTATGCCCTGAATGTATTCAATTATACTTAATATCAACCTTCAGAATTACTTTTTACCATTACCTGGACAACTTTAGTGCAGAAGAAAGTGCTTTGTTCAGAGATAGTATGCTAATGTCATTTATTTGAACATATGATATATTCAAACAAGTCATTCCATATGGAGAAAAAATTGTGTCAAGTGTATATTAAATATCATAAGCCTTTTTTCCCCAGTATTATCTGGCTGAGCAGTTACTTACAGGGGCTTGTCAAGAGGCTGAGGAGGACAGGCTGAGCCCTGGGGAAAGCCCTGCTGCTGTGACAGAGCTTGGGCCCCAGGGAGTGCTTATGGACCTCCCACACCAGGAACCACCTCTTTGTCACTTGGCCACGGCTCCAGTTTCTAGAAAAATTAAGAGGAAAATAGATTATTGAACCACTACTTGAAAAAAACATCTAGGATTTCTGTCTCCTTCTGCATTGGACAAGGTGGATGGTCTTTCATCATCTGTCTCGCACCAAGGAATTCCAGTCGAAAACACCTCCACTGGTCCTGAGCATTGTGCCTTACCAGCTTAACCTCATGTGAGTAACTGCCCCTGCAACAGTTTATGATGACAGTCAGTCAACGTCCTTATTTCACATGCATTACTAAGCAGTCATCCTTATTTGGTGTTTGAAAATGTGGCTGGCCTGAAACTCTTTAAAGCTAAATACTGGTTCTGCTATCCTTTGGTCTCTGGAGGCAGTCAGTAACATGACTTGGCAAACCTAAATATTAAAACAAAGAAGTTGTTATCATGGACAGGAAAGCAAAGCCCTAAAGTGTGCATTTTAGGATATATCACTTAAAAGGACTCTGTCAAGCGAGGGAGTTGCTGGCAGCAGGGGTGGCCTCTGTGAGACAAGGCCAGAGACTGCCCAGTGCTGGGCACAGCCAGCTCCACAACAGCTCCACTGCAGGGCACAGCTGTGCCCCAAAGTGAAAACTGGTGACACCTCTGTGAAAGCATATTTAAGGAAGGACAAATGTGCTGTACAGGAAGAGGAATGAGTAAAAGCGTGTGAGGAACAGCCCTGTGGCCACCAAGGTAAGAGATGAAGAAGAAAGGGGAGGAGGAGGTGTCCCAGGTGCCGGAGCAGAGATTCTCCTTCAGCCTGTGGAGAGGACTGTGGTGGAGCAAACGTCCGCCCTGCAGCCTGTGGAGGACCCCACGTGGAGCAGGTCAGGACAGCCTGAAGCTCACTCCCTGCCTGACCTGTGTCCCAGCCATGCCCTGGCCGCCCTGCGCCTCGATGAGCCGCACCCCAACTGGCCAGCTCAGCTGCTTGCCTCGGCCACCCCACCGAGGACCTGCCTGGCCATCCCAGGCTGTGGTGGTGGCTGCGGCCGCTTGCCTGGCCAGCCCTGCCCTTCCTGCCTTGTGCAGGTACCACGGGGTGGGCTCCACGTGGCCTCCCTGTGCCCAGCAAAGCTCATCCTGCAGGCAGAACTGGTGAATGTGCTGTGGTGAGGAGTATTTTGAAAGAGACATGGTAAATTCATACAAGAAAAAAAATTTCTTTCATCATGAGTAAATATAATGCTTTAGTCTTGTTACGTCTGCTAATCTACAGCTTAAGTTTGCATGCAGTAAAACATAACTAGATTTTTTTTTATTTCAGATCATCTCTACTCTGAATGCAATCCTTATTATTGTTGTTCGAATACAAAAATATTTCAAAAAGATCATGTGTAATTCAGAAATAAAGCCCGATTGCTAGGTGTTTCTTGGAACACAAAGTGATGTGTCAGTAAGGCTAATGAGTCTCTAACAAAAAAATTTGAGAAGACTACAAAAAAGGAATCTTACATAGACATGCTGATGTGCCTAATTAAAGAAGCTGGATCATGATCATCAAGATAATGTAAGTACCAATAACGTAATAGTTTAGCTTAATCTAAATTGGACTGTTCTGGAAAATAACCACTAATTGGTGTTGAGAGAGATTGATGAAGTAATGTAATTTTTGCTGATAGTGCTCTACTTAGCGCACAGAAACAAGTTCACTCTGATGCTGGACAAAACAGTTCTTGTCAATTGCAAATAAGCACATAGCATAAATGCTGCCTTTTTGCTAAGTGCTGAGCATCAACTATGTACTGTTATCTGCAGCTTCAATTAGAGAAAACCATTGTAAATATTGGCAGCAGTCCGGAGGCCCAAGTTCAGCTGGCCAGTGCTGCAATAACACATGGAGTTTCTTGCTAACGTAGCTCCTCAGGCAGACTGAGCCGGGGGGAGTCAGTCCCTAATGATTACTGGTACTGGCAGATTTCCTCTTATGAGAAACTAACACTTTATTGAAGTCTTTATGGTCCTGCAAAGCTTCCACCTTCTTGTTAAAACTAACACAATAAAATTCTGCAAGGCCAGTGATGGCTGTGCAAGCCCATTAACTAACTCAAATGATATGATAATATCCTCTTCTCTAATATTTTTCTTTTCTGTTAGTGAGCACTGAAGTAATGTAAAGGTTCTAACACCTACTTCTTGTATTCCCTGATTTTGGCAGGGAGGATAACAAGAAAAGAAGGCAAAAAATGGAATATACTATTCTGCAGTTTGAGCAATTCTATTAAAAATCAGAACATTACAAAACTCAGTTTCTCATATTAAACACTAATTTGGCAATTAGTTGTATTATATTTTATATTTATGCAGCGATAGAATCTTTCTGTGTTATTGTGTACCCTGAAATATAAAGAGAATACAAGTCCAACAGCTTTATTGAAGATTTTAGCATCACCTTAAGGAAAGTTTGTATATTTTAATTTCTGTGTCACTGGATTTTATAGGTGTCTGAAGATTCTTTGTGTTACAATTATACAGAGTGTCTCTTTTAAGCGATACACCTAATTTCATGCCTTTTGGTTATTGATAGAGTCTAAACATTTTAATTGTCATTCTGCTTACTACAACTCCAGCTGCTAATTTTGATGCAATGAGTATGTACCTGCTTCAGGTCACCATCATACCTACAGATGGCTACCATTAAAATTTTGTTTCTGTTAAGTGAGAACAAGGTGCACAAGACAGGTGATCTTTTGATTTATCTTTGAGAACAAGATCTTTGCTGATGACAGAGCAGATGGTCAACTTTGTTGAAATGGA